GCTTGCAACAGATTTGGCATTATAATCCCATGTAAGGGTGATAAAATGTTAAGCTGAAGCAGTACATCCAATGTTTGGATAGGAAGAAATGCTAGGGAGATGGTTATGGGAGTTTTGTTTAGTTTTTGTTTAGTTTGTTTTTTTTTCTCTTCATTGGAAAGGTTGACATTTAATTAACAATACTGCCTCTTCTTTCTGATCAAGAATATGTTTTCAATTTGTGAAGAAGGTCCTTAATTTGATAAATGCCAGCATTTAAAGATGTGAGGATATTATAAACAGCCTTTTGTTAGTGAGTATCATAGGTTTCTGATATAGACAATAATTATTTTTTTTATTTTTTTTTTAGAATTTACTATTTTCTGGTTGCAAAAGTCTCTCACAGTATGTAATTATTGGGTTTTCTTTTTATTTAAGCTAGTGTCCTTCACAAAATTTAGAGACAATGATGCAGAATAGCTAATCCAAATTCTTACTAGATATGTCTCTTTTTTTGCACCAATTGTTAAGACATCAGGGTAATGGAGAAGTATAACATTTATTGAAATTTTGAGTTTTGGTTCATGTCACTATCACATGGACACTTGTCTTTAGAGGTTTTACTATTTGTATCAGATTTTAAGTAGATAGCTACACAAGATGTGTGTTCCTTTGTATTCTTGAATCAATGGACAAGAATATGAAGGATAATTTGTGGATTAGTCTAGTCTGTTCTAGATTATTTCTTTTAAGAAAACAGCTCCTAAATCTACTGCCAAAGCAGAATAAAAGGAAGGGTAATACTTAGTTACCTAAACTTGTCTCGTCTGGAGATGGAGTCTTCCTCTCATACATTTGAATTATATTATGGGTGAGGCGTTTCCTGTGGCTGCTTTATAAAAAAGATCATGAGGAAATTATCAGCTGAGTAATCTAGACTATTTCAAGCTGGTTCAGGTAACTGTCCAGCTGATGGCCACTTTCATCTTACTTCATTCTGACTTCTGAAAAGCTGGTGCAATCATATTGGAAGTGTTTTGGAGGTTATCAATCAAGGTAGAGCTGGCTATTCTGTATTAATTCCTTGTTATAATGTAATGTGATAATTTGAGTCATACTACTAAATATGTCAAATGTCTAAACTGCACTTCTCACTTAAAAAACAACAACTGTTTTATGAGTGTTTAAAATACTTTAGAAGTATGTATTCATGCTAATCTAATTGTCAGAGCTGCAGGGATATAATTTGTTTCAGATGTTCCACAGTAATAAGCACTGACTGTGCTGTTATAAAAGTATTATTAACACACAGGAAACATTAACAGAACAGAAGCTTGTTTTCCAATCAAAGCATCTTGAAAATAAGAAAATAGAATGTGTGTGTCCATTTAACCCTTGAGTAGAGCAACTGCTGGAGTTACTTGGATACCTTGAGCATGGGATATGAAAGCATGGGAAATAAACACTGACCTGTAGCTAATGAATCCAGTTGCAGCTTAACTGACTCCTGTAGGCATTTTTGTGTGTTTGCACTGTGCCCTTCAGTGTCTGATTAGGAGGGGGTTAACATGGCACAAGCGTAGTACCGCATTACTTATGTTGTGATGGTTGCTGTCTCACCTGAACAGTGCTTCCACAAAGCTGGCAAGCTTCTAGACTTGTTTCTGAGTGCCTCTTCTTGAGTCAGGTCATGTCTGGTCAGACTTACTAATAGTGTAATCTTACTTGTATGAGAAAGCATTTGAACAACTGGTTTTGTTTCCCAACATTACTTGCTTGCTTGCTTGCTTTTTTAATTTAATATGGAGGTAATTTGTGACAGGTGTTTGGGGTATGCTTTTTTCTTTTGCAACCAGTGTGATCTGAGTAACGAGGTTGAACCAGGGATGACCTCATAGCAGTGATGTTGTAATTGGAAGCTGTTACTTCCTTCTCTTGAGTGGATGTGGCTGCTGGAATAGCCAGAGGAGTAATACAGAAGTTGTAAAGGAGTGGTGGACATGACTGCCTTGAAAGACAGATGTTGAAGTCTTAAAGCAAGATGCTAGCCCTCTTCTGTTAGGAAAAAGAAAGGAAACCAACAATACACTCATCCTCCCCAATAAGGGGGAGGCCCTTGTAGGGCCCCACAAGGGCCTAGCTCTTGTAAGATCCTGCCTGGTGTTTCTTTGCAGTCAGCACAGAGATGTCATCTGCTAGCATCATTCCCAATGTGTGATGGTTGTGCAGACTTGCTTCCTTGAGTGTGAGACAGGAGTGCCAGGTTGCTGTGGAGAACCTGCATCTCTTTGTGAGTATGAGCTCATTTGTTTGGGTGAAGTAGGCTAAGCTTACTCAGCATGCAACTATCTGTATTAGGAGTACATATTCACATTGGTTAGTCAAGTGTTCCAGCTATCAGGAGGGAAAAGTAATATAAATTGTGATCTCTGCTCTCTGTCTCTCCCAGTGTTTCTGTAATAGCATACTGGGGCTGTAGAAGGGCTGCAGCTACTCACCTCAGAGCACTTATTTTGCCTTCTTATGAATGCCTTATTTTCTTCCTTGGTGGTACATTGCAAGTGTCACATTGTATCTCATACCCTCATTTTGAGAGTTGGCTCTAGGTGACTTCTACCATAGTATCAACCTCTGTGTTTCCATTACAAGCCCGATTTTGGTCAGGCATTCTCTCTTCTTGGTTCCTTTTGGACTTAACTCTTCTTTGACTTGCACAGGAGTCTGTTGCTTCCTTCTTTCAGAGGACATTACATAATGCTGTATTGTGTTCCACTTTATTTGGACTTAAAATGTGCCGCTGTACTGGTGTGATTGGATCTGTACCAGAATAGATGTTTCTCTGCATTTGCTGCCAGACTTTGAGGTGCAAGTTCATTAAGGAAGTTTGACAAGATCTGTTCAGCATAGTTGAAAACATCTCATTTTTATGCCTGTTGACTTGCTTTTGTCTTTTTAAAAAGCAAATAATGTCTTGGTGTCTCAAGTTTGCTATATGGTAAACTCTGTACAGTGGCTTGGACCAAAGCTGTAATGCGGTGTTTTCAGAATAAGAGTACAAACAAAGAGTGCTAAGATGCAAGGCACAATAGAAATTTAGGATAATGTTGAGGACAGTTCTAGTGCAGTTCTGAAAGCTGTGCCTTTCCGCTTCAGTCTCAGCATTGAAAATATGAGCTTATAGCATGTTCTTTGTGTTTTTTGTCTTAGGACTGGTGGGTCTGTGTCTGCCAGATGCTTTCCTCTTAATTTCTACTCTCTGTACTGTCTTGAAAAGGAGCACAACACTCCTAAAATTGATTTTCCTGTCAGTGGCATCATAAAGTGATGTTTACTGTGCAACACTGGACAGCAAGATCTACATGCAAGTTTGACCATAAAATGCAATTATTCCTTCAAAAGTGAGCTGGGGCTGCTATATTGAACAACTACAGAAACTGCAACAAGGGAAGAGTTTGCATCCCTGGAAGGGCACTGTGATAGGCGTGGCATGAGACAGTTTTAAAGTTTTGACTAACATGGCCAAGAGGCTATGAAGTGAGATGTCTATCTCACTGTCCCAACCCCTTCTCTTAGGGATAAAGATAAGTTGATCAAGGGAGTTGTATTACCTTCTCAAAAATGGATGGAGAGCTTCAGAGCTGATTGCACTTTGGCCAGCTGGCATGGAGGTAAGGCATTTGGCTTTAAGCTGTTTTATTTCAGGGCTTCTGACTGGCTAGCTAGTGAGGACATAGACTTTGGATTTTTATAGAAAACAGTAGAATAAAAGCAGAAGTTTGTTTAGGTTAACACAACACCTCTTTTGCTATAACATTTTAACATTGCATGTGGATGCATGTGCTTTCTAAAACTAAAATTTTTTTATTTTATTTTTTTTCCAAGTCTATTTAAGCTCCTGCCTGGCTATATCTAAAAATGAAAGATGTATGCCTCTGAATGTTCTGTCCATATCTGCTTTTGAGTGTGCTTGGTATGTGAATATTGGCATAATTCAGCTGTATATACTCCGATGGATGAAAACTTACATTTTATTCATAAGTATTGTTTATTTGTAAAATAAATACACTTAATGTATAATTGCCTTCAAAGTCTGTTTTTTTTGGAAACGAGGATTAAATATTTTCCGTGTCTTTCAACAGGAGGATGTATCTGGCTGGCTAGTACCAGGAGAAGGGTACATACCTGAACCAATGGAATTGAATCATCTAAAGGAGATAGACATGAAGCTTCAAGTACTACTATCTGATGTCGATTCTTCTGCAATTGCCAGCTATTGCTCAAAACCTCTGGGCCAAATTCATCAGGTATATTATGGAAGAGGGCTTATGTTGTGGATTCCTGGTTTATAGTGTGTGTTGAGATCTGATGTAAATGAAAATACAGCATACATCTATATTTGTATTTTTTGCGTTTTTCTTTGGTTATTTTGTAATTGTTCTTAAAATATATGTGTTAAAGAATAAAGTAAAATCTTGAGCTATAGTAATCATACAGAAAAATAGTATGTTGTTATTTGGAGTGGTAGATAATTCAAGGACTGGCTTTGTTTTTAACATTTGTTGATTCCACACTTTCAAAAAGAAATTTCGTATGCAGGAATTGGGAACTCAGATAGTTTTAACTGTGTGAGAGCTTCAGTGATTCTGTCAGCATAGTAATGCATTACCCATTTATCTTTGGGAATCAAAGTGAGGTTTCTATCTTATCTCAGGATTCCAAAAGTGCCTTTTCACTTATGATGTGAAAGATAAAGCAATTACGAATAAGCAATGTTATAGACTGTAGGAAGTTGATTGACATTGTATGTCCCTTGTTTTTAATGGCCTTTGTCTTTTTCCCTTGCCAGAATATTAATAACCTTTGGGGCCTCGGCCTTGAGGTGTGATTGCTTGAATTTTGTACATAGAAGAGTCCAATTTATCCCATGCCCTGGTAATGGTGCTCCTGATATAATAGGGGAAAAAAACCAAAGTACTGTGATTGCACTAATTTTCCTGGAGCTTGTTTACTTCTGTAAAGTTTACAGTTTAAGGCCAGAACAGGTGTATCAGAGGCTGTGTAGGAGTGTACATTGGCAAAACTGTTTTCAGTTACTTGTGTGAGATCATCTCTTTGAAGGTGGGATTTTTTTGTCTTTTTATAAAGAGAACTTCAGTGTCATTTTTTGCATTGGCTTATTTCTGAACTTCAGGTTTTGTTTTACCTGTAGTAGTATTTGCTGCTGCCCTGACAGCTCCAGGGGAGTCACATTTCGATATTGAGTTACCAACTGAAATTTAATGTGTGAAACAGCGACTCCCTCTAGTGGGTAGTCACTTAAGCAAATGCATTTGTTACCAGTAACTTCAGGTTCACAGACGTGAGCTTGCCAGTGATTGGTGGATCTTGTGTCACTATTATGAGACATCAGCTTGAAGTTAGTGTCACTGCCTATGTCAATGAACATTCCTTTTGGGAACGTTTCTCCAAACAGTTGCTGTTGCTTCCTTTTTACGTAGAAGCTCAAAAGTATTTGAAGAGAAACTTGCATTTATGTGTAAACTTATTGAAGAGTAATGCATTATCTTTTTGAATAATATTAAGCTTAACAACCAAAAAGAGATAGTTAATTCCATAAGGGAAAAGAAGTTGCCCTTCAACTTTGTTTTGCATCACACAGAAAACTTTCAGATATTGTAATTGTAGGAAACGCAGGATTCCATTTGTCTTTTGTTTTATACAGATAAACATGTGAGTCATTTTAATGAAAGCTATCAAAGAGTAGGACTGAAAGGTAGTTCAATACATTTGGAAAGGGAGTTAAAAAATCTCATGTCTTCATTCTTGCTTCTCTGGATGTCCGCAGCTGCTTCTGTCAGCAGAGTACAGGGTGTCTAGTGATTGCCTTAGTTTCACAAAACCCCAGGCTTTGCTTTCTGATTTTATAAGTGCAGTCTGATTGTATATTGTGACATGACTGGACTTGTTTAGATTTATGTCAAATTTCAGCTGCTAATTTATTTTTTTTTTTTTAAATGACAAGCAGAGGAGAAAATAGTCTCAACTTTCAGGACCTTAATTGCTTACTGTGAAAGTTTCTTATCAGGTCTACCCTTCAGTCCTATGTTCTTGGCTATGGTTATTTTTGTTTAGATAGGTAAAAAAATCACTTTTCTTATATAGAAGTAAAAACAGGCCAGGTTCTGAATTTGGTTATGCAAGTTAATTCTCAACATCTTTGTTTTCAAAATCTTTTAACAGTTGCTTTTTCAAAAAAACAGGAACTAACATGCAGCAGTAGCTGAGAAATGAGTGGCTATTTTAAGTTTACAGAGCTTCCTATCAAAAGGCATGAAAAAGTACTAAAGTACTTTTTTTTTTTTTTACACAGTAGTTTTTCTAAGTTCACTGCTGCTCATGGTCTTTTTAAAACAGCCTTGTTTTAAATATCAATATCTCCTAATACTGCTATACACTGAAAGTTTTAATGGCTTATTTTTGAAGCATCAGTTCTGATATCAGAAGATAGGTGGGTCAGAGAGAAACATCAGAATTATTTGTACTGAATGTCTTTTGGAACCTGATCAAAACCAACTGATACCTACCCAGAAATGGTCTGAAAAAATAATTGAGTTATGCTTTTGCTGAAAGAAGATCTTGTTCTGTGATTTGTTAGGATGAATGCCACATGCAAGACAAAGGCAGTAAGAATTCTGGTTGTCTGTCTTGTTGGATTTCAAGTGTTTAATGACAAGATGTTCAATTGAATCATAGAACACCAGGTTGGAAGGGACCTTAAGGATAAGCTGGTCTAACCTTTCTTGGCAAAAACATGTTCTAGACAAGATGGCCCAGCACCTTGACAACTGGATCTTAAAAGTGTCCAAAGTTGGGTAATCCACCACTTCCATGAGAAGATTATTTCAATGGCTGATTGTTCTCACTGTGAAAATTTTTCCCCTTGTGTCCAATCATAATCTCCCTTGGGGTAACTTGTACCTAACGCCCCTTGTCTTTTCCATGTGACTCCTTGTGAAAAGGGAATCTCCATCTTTTTTGTTGCCACTCTTTAGGTACTATAACATAGTGCTAAGTTCTCCCCTAAGCCTTCTTTTCTCCAGGCTTAACAAATCAGATTCTCTCAGTTTTTCCTCGTGTGGCAGGCTTCCCAGTCCTCTGATCATCTTTGTGGCCCTTCTCTGGCCCCTCTCCAGCCTGTCTGCATCCTTTTTGTAGAGCAGGGACCAAAACTGAATGCAGTATTTCAGGTGTGGTCTGATAAGTGCCGAGTAGAGTGGTATGATTACTTGTTTATCTCTGGTGATGCCCTGGTTGATGCAGCCCAGCATCCTGATGGCTTCCTTTGCCTCTGTAGCACACTGTTCACTCATGTTGAGCTTGTCCACCAGGACCCCTGGATTCCTTTCCACACAGCTACTTTTCAGCCAGGTAAATATCAACCTGTGCTTCACTCCTAGATTGTTTTGTATCTGTCCTTGTTGAACTTCATAAGGTTCTTAGCCCACTCTTCCAGCCTATCCAGGTCTTCCTGCAGGCTGTCCCTTCCAAAGTGTCTGTTTCCCCACTCACTTTGGTATCATCTGCAAACATCTTCAGGATAGATTTGATACCATCATCCAGATCACTTACGAAGATTCTAAACAGTGTTGGGCCCAATAGTGATCCATGGGGAACCCCACTTGTGACAGATTGCCAATTTGAAAAGGAGCTATTTCCCACCATCTTCTGGCAGCCTGTCAGCCAATTTCATACCCACTGCACAGACCACTGGTCTAGACCTTTACACATTAGTTTCACTAGGGAGAGGCTGTGGGGAACCATATTGAAAGCCTTGGAGAAATCTAGGTAGACAATGTCCACTGCTCATTCCACATCAACTGAACAGTTTACTTTATCATAGGAGGTGATTTGGTTAGTCAAGCATGGTTTGTCCTTGGTGAATCCATGGTGACTTTTCCCAGTCATGTACTTCATTTGACTTGAGATAGTGCCCAGGAGGAATCGTTCCATAGCTTTTGAGAGCTTGAAGTAAGACTGACGTGCTTATAATTTCCTAGATCCTTCTTTAAGCTCTTCTTGTAGATGGGGGTGATATTTGCCCATTTCCAGTCTTCTGGGACATCCTCTGATCTCCTCAGATTCTCAAAGATTGTGGAGAGTGGCCTCCTAATGACATTAGCCAGCTCTCTTTAACACCCTTGGGTGGATGGCATCTGGGCCCATTAGTTTGTAGGGGTCAAGCTCCTGTTATTACAGGAGTAATAGCTGTGTAGCAACTCTTCCTTCACGGATGGTGGGTCTGTGTTTGCATCAACCTGGTATTTTGTTTCCAAGGCCTGGGGCCCAACAGTGCTGGTAAAGACAGAAGTAAAGAATGTGTTGAGAACCTCTGCTTTTTTTGGCATTGTTGGTGACTTGATTCACCTCTCCTGTTTGACTGTCAAACATGGGCCAGCATTTTCCTTTTGTTTCTGCTTGTTTAGGTACTCAAGGAACCCTTTCTTGTAGTTTTTGACATCTCTGGCCAGTCTCAATTTGAGCTGAGCTTTTGCTTTTCTATCTTCATCTCTGTATGCCCTGGCAATCCTCTTGTAGTTCATAATGGGTGTTCTTTTGCCTTTCCATCCCTGGTATGCTTCTCTTTTCATTTTGAACAGACTCAGAAGCTCACAGTTAAGCCAAGAGAGTCTTTTGCTGTGCCTCCTTACCTTTAAAGGGGATGAACTTGTTTTGTGCTCCCAGGAGTTTCTTGAAAAATGCCCAGCACAGAACTAATGATCTTTTTTAGTAGTTTACTTACTGTGACTGTACTTTTGGAAATTAACAGCATGTTTTTCAGTCAGTGTCTGTTTGTAGGACTGATAATGCTGAATGTGTGTAGTTATTTGCAGATTTAACTGTATGAGTGGTATGGAGAAAGCCTCTTCCTTATTCCTATATAAACCAAGGTCACTGCTTGGTTTTGCCAAACTACTTATGTAACACCTGTAACCCTCCTGTGGGGAGAAGCGGACTGAACAAGTGACTTGAAATCGAGCAAACTAAGTATTCCATCCAGTGTGCATCATACTCAGTATAAATCTGAGGGATCGTGAGGGTCAAGCTGTCTTAGTTCGTGGCTGGTGTCCTGGGAGGACTCTGTTTTCTTCCTTCGATCCCAATCTGTGCTTTCCTGAATCCATGCATTCCTGAAACCAGTCCTTGTCTACCACTGAGTCTGGGAGTCAGTTCTTTTGGGGAAGAGGTTGATTTCACTGACGCTAATATTTCTTCTTAAAATTTTTGCTGAAATTCTTTCTGATTTCCGTGAGATGTGGATTTCATCTATTGTGGTTGAGTAGAATATAATGTGTTAGTGATGGGGAACACTGGGAAAAATCATTACTGTGTAAATCATCTGCTTGCATTTTCATTTAGAATTTTAGAAATAATTAAAAAAATGTGCTTAGAGTTCTATATCATAAAGCTCCGTGTTCTTTTCTTCCAAGAATTGCATTAGATATAGCTTTCAAAATACAACCACTTAATCACCACTGGCTCAATGGGAGAGCTGCTTCCTGCCACTGATAAATACTTTGGCAGGATATAGGAACTATGCTCTGGCTCTGATATCTTTAACAACTGGCTTTAATTATCCACCAGTACCATAGCTGAGCTGTTACAAAGGAGCATGCAGATTCATCTTTTTGTGTGATGAGTCCAGCTGGATTCAGAATGCTTTTCCATGACTAATGTTCCCTTTTTTGTGGAAATGTTTCTTATCAGAAATGTATTTATCTGAAACATGTCTTTGTTCTGGTGCCAACTTAATTAAATATTTAAAAAATAGTTCTGTCTTAATATTTTTGGGGAAGAACAAATTAAGTTGAATGTAATCGTGAAAGAGATGGGAAAACAGTAGGATGAAGAATATGAAGTGTACACTGTATGCAAAGAGTACAGTTACCAGCTTGAAAAACTGAAAGACTACCTGAAAATAAAATAAAATGGCCATAGTGTTTGAAGAAACAATAATATCTGTCTGCTCGGTTGTCTTATAAGGATGATTAATATTGCATGTTACCTCGATGAGTTCTTTCATACCCAATTTGGTTTCTTTTATCAGAAAAATATTAAATTTTTAAATTAGAGCAGTGGAGAGTTAACAAATCTAAATAAATTTTCAAAAGTATACAAAATACTGAATGCACAATGATGTTTAAATTAATGAGCTCTTGATATCCTGTACTCTATGCCTGCACTTCACCAAAACAGATGATTTGGAAAGGCATCTCTATTTCAGGGCATGGTTAGAAGCAAGTTAATAAGCTGATCAGCCAGTTTTGTGGCTCAAGAAGATTGTATGACACTAATAGCTTTTGTTAGGTGGGATTTTGTTTCTATTTATTTGTAGAATTTTGGGGAAAAGAGAGTGCAACAAATAATTTTAGCCATTTCTACTACTGGATATTTGTTTTGCATTGATTGTTACAGCTTTGGCAGTTGCCAAGTACTTATATCTATCCTCCTGTAATATATTTAACACTTTTATTTTTATACCTCATCTTCAAGTTTTTTTGGATCTTGTCATGGTTTAATGCTGGGCCGGCAATTAAATGAACAAGATTGCTCTCTGTTAACCCCCCTCCCTCCCCTTAAAGGGAAAAGAGTGGAAATAAAGGAGACAGACTCTTACGGGTTAGAAACTAAACTACGCAGCTTTAATGAGACAGTAGTGATGAAAAAGAAAAGCAATGAAATATACACAAATATACATGAAGGCACTATTGTGTTCTCCCCCTGGCCCCCAGGATGCCTGATGAAGAGAGTGAGCTCCTCGTGATCCCTCGAATATATACCCGGTATGATATATATGGGGTGGGATACTTTGGTTAATTTTGGTCACCTGTCTGGTCTGCTCCTCCCCAAAGAAGGGTCTCAGGTGTGACCCCTTACTCTCTACTGGTTCTGGAGCACAAGGTGTTTTCTTCAGAACCAAGCAGTGGCCTTGGTTCTGCATTCCAGTCACCTGTAGTAGCTATAATCAAGTGTTATCAGTCCTAGAGGCAGACACTGACTGGAAAACATGCTGTTAATTTCAGCAACTGCAGCCCCTTAGAAGGGGCTTAACTACAGAGTAAGATCACAAAAAGGAAATCAGTTATATCCTGGCTCAAACCAGGACAGATCTTTATCTCAAATGGACTTCCACTACCTCCATGTGCTGTATAATTGAAACGTAGAATGTTTTGAAGTCTTTGAAACATAAACAATAAAATGTTTTCCATTATATAATACTTGCTATATTTGTTTAATGTTATCTTAATAAAAATATTAAAAAGTGAGGAAAAGTCTTAACTTTTCTAATATGGTGTTGAGTTCTGATCAGTTACTATTGAGGGATGAGACTGCAGCAATAATACTATCAGAGATGCTGTTTGCAGTTTGAGCTTTTCATCTGATGAAAATATCAACTAGTAGTCCATGCATATGACCCCTAAAATGAAATACTGGGAACTATAATACAATAATACAATAGTCAGTGACTTCTCAGTACCACAAGTTGAGGATTCTCGTAGGTTGATCTATAATACTGCTTTTTAAAACAAATCATAACTGCAACTCTGATCCATTCTGAGCACTAACTGCTTATGTGGTAATGTCTGTCTTTATGCATTAATCAAAATATTTGATTTAGAAATGCACTTGCAGAAACAGCTGTAACTTTTTGCTAAAGAGAAATATGATGCCATCATCAAAGAGAAATATGATGCCATCATTTTCCTCCTTGCCCTTAATGAAAAATTTCACTTGTATTAAATTCACTGGAAGCACAAAGCCATGTACAGGCAATTCCTCTTGTTAGAGGGAGCTTCAGTTATTATATTGTCAGTTGCTTTGCCAGCTCTGTGTTTAAATTGGAGATATAAAGGTCATATCCTTGTTTCATGCATTAATAAAGACAAGTTTAAATAAGTCCTTTGTTTTTTTTGTGGTCTGTATGGATTCAGTCGTGCAGATTTCTTGCCATAAGGCATCATACAAAATTTATAAAAACATGTCTATTTAGAAGCCTGGCTTTAGACACTCCATGCTAAGAATGTGGCTTTAGGTGGTCTGCATTTAGCTTCAGTTCAGTTTGTAGAGATTCTAGTAATTAACAGATGGTGCTGGTTATATCTCTGTTAGAAGAAAATTACTGGCATTGTGGTACTGCCAACTATTGCTGATTGTAAATACATATTCAAAGATTTGTACTGTGTTTAAAGAAGTTTATTTTCAGGCAACTCATAGTTTGTTTTAAATGTCAGAACTCATAGATTTGCTTAGAAAAAGTTTACAGATGTCTGCAATTTTTTGTATATTGTAGTTGAGAAAAATTTTCTGTGGAGGGTTAGATTGCAAAGGTTGTTTTACTTTGCAATTAGACACGGTGTCTGAAATTATTTTCCTTGTGTTTATTAAGATTACTTGAGCTGCTTCTGAAAAAAAAAGAATGAATAGAGTATGTTTTTATTAAATGGTTGCTCAATTTGCTTTGCTTTGAATTGACTAACAGAGGGGTTTTTTGGTTATTTCTTTTTTCCCCTCTGCCATTATTTGGATTCCTTGGGTTCTTCTGTAGAATCTTTTGATTTGCAAGAAGAAGTCCTGTTTTTTTCCAGTTGCAACATAGCATTTTTGTTTTGCCAGTACTTGTAGTTCTTAATAATTTAAATTGTACGTATCGTTGAACCCTGAATGTATTCAGGACTGAAACAAACTTCAGAATTTGATCTGAAGCTACTGAAGGATGTGGGAATGTGTAGCCCAAATCTTTAGTAATGGTTGTGCTTTTAACTCCAACTTTGAGAGGGTTGTTTGCCTTTTACCATGATATCCAGTAAACAAAACCTACAGTTAGTTCAGTTCAGTTCTTCCTTTCCTTTTTGGCCTACTTCTGATCCCAGTATGGTTAAATGGAGCAAGCTGCCAACTCTTCATTCAGCCTCTGACTCTCAGTGCGTTTTTATTGTTTTAGTAGTATTTAAACTTTGAACTGAGCTCTGCAGACTTAAGAAATTTCTCTTAAAATGTGAAGGGGAAGAATTCTTTTGTTGAAAGAAGTCCAGCTTTATGTGTAGGTATTGTATTGGAAAATATGCATAATTAAAACTATGCATTTGCAGCATTTGACACATTGTTCTTATCTTTATTTTCTCACCTAAACCATGTTCCTATGTAGAAAGCTTGGACCTTGATGTCCCTTCCAACCTGGCATTTTATAATTCTAAACAATTCCATGTTTTCCTGATAGAAATCAAAAGAATACTCACCTGGCTTTGTACCAATATAAAATCCTATGTTTAATTTCTGTCTATTCTTCTTTTTGTCAGGAGTCTCTGGCTTATGCAAACAGAACCCTAGGAGCAGTTCCAGGTGAAAAGGTTCTGCGAGACCATAAGGAACAACGTGATCAACAAAATCGTTTGAAAGAAATAGATCATCAGCTGAAAAACCTAGAGAAAAGTCTTGTAAGTCTCCTACTTTATTGTATTTTTTTCCCCTCAGTCTGAAAACTTGAGTTTATCATTCCACATGTCTGAAAATAAAATCACATGTTGCAACTTTTGTAAATTCCTGAAGGAATCCCCAAAGAAATGTACACACACAAGTCTCATAATTTTTATTTAGCTGGGAAGCCTGTTTTTCAGTTTTCCCCATTAACATAGTGTCTTTCAAAGTGAAAGAAATTATTCTCCTCTCTTCCTTCCCAGAGGGGGTTAGTATAAACAGTCATACATAAATACATCCTAAAAGGATATTTTTTATGGCTCATGTAATGCATTGTTCTTTGAAAGACCTATACAGATGAGAATTAGGAAGAAACTAGATAAACCATTCAAAAACAGATGATTGAAAAGAAGAATCCTAAGATAATACAGTTGTCATTTGTCCTGAAAACCAATGTTGATATTTGTTTTGATGTTGAATGTCTCATAGGTCTTCTGTAGAGCACAGGAAGAAAATCTCTTTCCATTCTTATTATTTTTAATAAGTCTGTACAAAACTTTGAATATTTGCCTTGCTTAGGTGAAGTTAGGAATTAAACTGCTGAAGATTCAATCATATTTCTGCATTACTGAACTGGCAGTAGCGGTTAAAAGCTGGGTACATATACATATTTGTATGGCTTTAACATCTTTGTTTAGTGTTATGTTTCTTCATTGAGATAATAAAGCTTTTGTTTCTCCATATATTGTTCTGTGTGGGGAAGACGGACTAGTACAATAATGTAGGAGAGACTGAGGTGAGATGAAAGCTGGCATGGGTAACCCGATGAGGCAGAATTTTTACTACGAAACCCCAAGTATTTTGGTACATTAGCAAGAGGCATCAGTATAGATAATTGACATAGAAGAACTGTGCAAATGAAGGTGATGGTGGTTGGTAATAGTAAGCATGGATTTACTGATGGTAAGTCATGTTTCACCAACCTGATTGTTGCCTTTGATGAAATGACTAGATCTGCTCTGTAAGCTGAAGACAGGGCTGCCACTCACTGAGTTAGGTTGGAGTAGGCTGACAGGAGCTGTATGAAATTTGTCAAGGTCAAATGCAGTTTGCTGCACTAGAGGGGAATAACTCTCTAGCTGTGCAATAGAATAAGTTTGGTAGAGGGCTACCAAGATGATTTGGGGCTAAAGCACTTGATTGGTGAGGCTGGGTAGATTTGGTTTGTCTAACCTGGAGATGGCTCAGGCAGACTTAACAGTAGCTTTCCAACAGCAAATAAGATGTTACACAGAAAACAGAGCTGTACTATCTTTACTGAGTTACATAGAGGAAGAGCAAGAGACAACATTAATTAATTTAAACAGGGAGTTTCCAGCTAGATCTAAAGGAAAAAAACACCACAAACAACCTCTGAGAGTAATTAAGAATTGGAAGCAGGTTGTGTGGAGACACTATGAAATCTCCACCTTGAAAATTTTGCTGACCTGGCTGGACAAAACATTTGATCTGATCTTGTCATGGACCTTGCTCTTGGAGCAAGAGGTTGGACTAGAGGCCTCCTGACATGTCTGCTCCCCAGTCTGATGATTTTTCAATTCTACAAGGCAATGGATAAAATGTTTTTGTGCATTTCTTTACTATCACTACATTGAAGGCAAAAGAGTAATTTTTCATGGCTGTGCATTGTAAAAAATTGCTTCTTTTGTGTAGTTGATTTTAGTGCTTGTCAAGAAGTCATAAAAACATTAGTATTACAAGTTTGTTGTGTCAGACAAAAAAATCACTGTAATCTATCTTTGGCTTATGGAGGTCTTTATTCAGCAGTAGGCTTACCTTCTGCAGTAATCAGCTAGGACAAATACTGTTCCAGTCAATCTTTTGTTGCCCTCAAAAAGGGATCTCCAGTGCAAATCAAAAGCTTTGTGATTCGCATAGCACCAACAGTGTTATAATCTCAATTACTAATAGCACTGTTGCTACAGTTGCAAAAAACTTCAGCAACTATCTACATATGCAGGGTTTATGCTGGCAGTGCTGGAACTGCATAGCCAATATGATTAGACTTCTAGCAGGTTTAAAACTAATTTGGATACAACTACATGCAGTCTAGTCTTTGTTTTGGGGGGTGGGGGAAAGATAATTGACACATTGTTCCTGATGTCAGTTAATTTTACATACTTACGGAGTATGGGAACAAAATCTTCAGACAGGGAGACTTGATAGCTTTACAGGCTGCTCACTTGTGTTTGTGTGTTGCTAGAGTAAGGCAGCATATTTAGATCTTATCTGTTCATAGTACCAAAACAAAAGTAGACCTTCATTTTAATACACTGCTTTATTATGTTAGACAGTCAAGAGACAGGAGGCAAATATGTGGAGAGAGTCTGTGGAACTTCAGTACATTTCATAGGTTAGTGGGTAAACAGATAAAGTATGTTTGCTTATTGTCATATTTTCCTAGTCATTGACCTTTATATTACTTTTTGTCACTACTGACCTTGTTCATGAGGCAAACACAATCTGAGGAAGTGTGTCTGGGAACTGTATGATAGTCTGCAGCAGGCCTGGGAAATGCAGTGGACTGCTGACTCATGCACATGTTTTGTATATAAATGAGTCAGTTCCAAGTCTTGCTTGAGCTATAGCAATATTGTTTGGTATCACATTGCACACAATCTTGCAACATGCCACACATTTTTCCTTGGCTAGATACTGTGTGTGTTTAGAACTCTGAATGTGTAACTCATGGCCAGGCAACACCTGGTAAGGCTTCTTCACAGGGACATACTGTGTCTTTTTATCAGTTGCTGCTCTGTAGCATGACTCTGAGATTACCGCATATGGAAATGAAATATTTGTGTATTAGTTCTGTGGGATACTTCGGTTGCAGTATAAAGAAGCATTTAAGTCTGAATTAAGTCTTTTCTTTCTAACAGTGAAGTAAAATATAAAATGTACACTTCTTTATGTGAACAGAGAATAGCCTTCAGTAAATACTGCTTTTTTATTGTTATTTGTGTCCTCGATACCTTCTAATCTTCTGGAAAATAGTTATTGCTAGAGAAGATTGGACAAAACAGCATGGTGTTGCCTCCCAGTGCAAGATGCACGATTGGCTAACACTGTTCTTATTTGGTGTGGGAATGTCTAAAAATCAGATAACTTAAGCAGTGTTGATTTAGTGCCTTGTTTCTATACAAAGTAATATTTTGGCCATCAATTCTGTAACAATGTTAGCAACAAAACTGCTCTCTGCTAGGAAGCTGCATGATGAAAAGCTAAACTGAATGCTTGATTTGAGCAGCAGGAGTATGTATATTACATGTGCTGTAGGCAATCCTTCTTTAGTGGGGAGGGTGGACTAGATGATTTCTAGAGGTTCCTTCCAACTCTAACAATTATGTGACATGTTCCTAGAATAATTTAATTATTTCTGGAGATACTGTTAGTTATTCAATAGGTGGCACTCTTCACTGTATGTCAGAAGAAGAACGTGTAGGCACAGTTCTAGGGAATGTAATTACTGGTGAAAACGTCATTTCTGTGGTACAAAATAAAAGTTGTGAGAGATTGTACACCTGGAATCTTGCTAAAAATGAGAGGCAGTTTTTAATGTATGGTTATTTTTCTAGCTTACTAATTAAACAATTTAAAATTCACATTGTGTTTAAATTTCTCCTTTACACTTTCCTAAACCACTGTAATTCACTGTGGAAAACTGTAAATAAATTCTCTGCTCTGAGTAGAGGAGCTGATTTACCAGCAGGTAGGGATTTTATTTCTAAATGCACGGTTATACTGGGGGTTATAATTTTAAAATATAGTATTCTACATATTTAATGTTTGAAATATCAGTTTCAAAATCAGATTTTAAAAAAGTCCCTCAGGTGAAATATTTCCTTCTATTGCTTCTTTCCTTTTTTTTTTTTTTTTGTGTGTGTGTGTTGTAGAATGCTGTATTTCTTCCGTTAGTGCAAAATTAATTATTCAAATTAATTCAGGTAAAGGCAGCTTTATTCTGACCTTCTATTCAAGGGGGAGGAATATACATCCTATTTCTGGAACCAGCTATTTAGTAGGTGCTGGCTTCTGAGATTTTAACTTTTATGGATTCCTTCACTACAGCTTACCTCGTGTATGCTGTGAGACTTCATGGTTTCAGCTAAATCTGGAGCTGAGCACACAAAACAAGGTTGGAAGAGAAGAGTTTAATGTACTTTACAATCAGTATAAAAATCAGAAAATCTGCTGAGTATTATGCTTGAGGTAATGAAACCTAAAGGCTTTGGAATCTGAGTTCCTTCTTTATTTTGAAAAAAATTGTCCTTAATTAATATATGAAAGAATCTATTGTATGCGTTGTTGAAATGCATTCGAAATTTCAGTCCAACTGAAATGTATCTGTACTGTGGTTTCTGGGCCCTTGCTCAATTTCTTTTAGGTTTCAGTTTGACCTTAGTTCACTTGTTCTTCATTTGAAACCATGGCTGACTCTCTCCACATTCTTTCATCTTTCAGTTTCCTGGAAACCGTTGAGCTTATCTTTGTTTTGTGAATTGTATTGTTAATGGCTGCTTCAAAAAACATGTTCCGCTGCTAAATGTGTGTTGCTGAGCATTAATGAAAGGAATTTTATATAGAAAGTATAATAAAAGTAGTTGTTTTTCAATTGTGGCTTCTACTAGTTGGTTATTTGCAATAATCCAGTAGCATGTGTGTATAGAATTTCTTGATGGTGACTAGTAGGTTTAAATGTGCACCCAAGCAAGCTGTTAAGTAAGATAGTTTCACCTTTGCTGACTGTATGTGTGTTTACTTCAAGTGTGTTACACTGGAAGCTCAATCCTTTGTGCCAAAATCTAGCCACAGATGCCTGCATTGGAGTTTTGGTTAAATATAGAAATAAAAAAAATATTTAAAATGCATATTTAATAGATATGCATATAGTTGTGTATATACACACATACTGAGCATGACTGAGATACTGATACCTACTTTAAAAAGTCTGGTTACTTGC